CATACATACATACATACATACATACATACATACATACATACATACATACATACATACATACATACAGTTTTAATGTAAACCAGCGTCTGTACTTTTGATACTGAGTGTTTTTAGCTAGTAAAGCCTGTAACTGTTTCTGTGATATAAATACTGAAATATTGAAATTTAACATGTAATCTGTGTCCATAATAACCAGATCCTGAAAAGTAGATGTGGCTTTCTGGATACAGAGCACAAACATTTACATTTAACTGATTTTGATTAATCGTTTTTAAATTCACAATTATTATATATATATATGTATACATACATGCATGCATCCATACATACATCTTTGAAACATCTAAACAAAGATTTTTTTTTTCAAGGTTCAAAATGTCAGATTTTCTGGTCCTTATTGCGTGTTTTTATTATGACTGAGGTTGTTCTGTTCTGGCAATCCTTTTCATAGTAGATGTAAAACATTTTTCCAACGAAATTAGTTAAGATATAGGGAACAAGTAACGAAACCAACTAAAAAATTGTGATATTACCACCAGGGATCATTTAAGGACTATTTTATGCTAAACCATCTGTATATCCATGTCAGTCACAGACACACTGAAAGAACCAAATGTAGAACAGAAATAATCAGAATTGATCTGACTTTTTGGCGGAGGAGGGCAGAAACACTCAATGCAAGTGAAACCGCTTCTTTCGGCAGTTTTGAGCTCAGTTTATTAGACACATACAGGATAAATATTCAGGCCTCAGACACACAGGAAGAGACAGAAAGGAGTCACACGCCGGCATCAACAGCTGTTTAAATCCAACACTGTCCATTCTCATTATTTTTCCACTCTTTTCTCACCGTATGGGCTTATTTGATTTCATGATAACATCCCTGAGAAAGAAATGGGACGGCTGATGTGTCCTGATCGAATTCCTCCTTTAAACGTTTCGAAAAATCCAACGACATGAAACAAGTTCTCCATATCTAAGTCTAACCGTCTAAACCACAGAAAGAATAAATCTACCTCACTACACCGTGTTTAACGATATTTTAGACCCGATCACACGACCATAAACCCAGGATATTAAAGTTATTTAGGTATTCCTGATTAAAGACCTAGTTTTCCTAAAGTTTTAAGCAAATCAAAGCAAGTGCTGACTGTGAACTGAAGTGGAGTAAAAACAGCGTCCTGCTTCCCAGAATCTGACAGAGCTGCACTTTGAGGTGGTTTTCGATTTTAAAAAAAGCACTTTCCCTGATGGGATTTGATATAAATATAGAGCAGCTCCCCTGCTGTTGTGCTAAGTGTGTGAAAGCAGGTGCAGAGAGCCCTGCTGGACCCTGATGCAGAGGTATGCCGCCACTCAGCTCCAAGGCGCTCAGCTCCACGCCGGCCGTGTCGGCCATCCGTCTGGCGGTGCCGGCGTCCAAGGGCTGCGAGGCCGCCGGCTTACACAGCAGCCATTTTGCTGGCCTCTCGGACCCCGCTGAGGTAGGCCCCCGTCACGGTCTGAGGGAAGTGTCGGTTGGTGGCCTGGTGGGAAAAGAAATGACAAATAATGAAAGGTTAAACCTGGTTTAAAACCAGTGGAATCAAACACAGTCACATATTAAGCATTAGCTGGGTTACTGATGCTGAGAGCCTAAACACAGCCAGCTGGACTTCTTCTTCTTGTGAGACTTTTCTCCTCACATCCTGATGCTTCTTGAAGCCTGAATCCTGAAACAGTCAGCGGACTCGGTGAGCTGGTGATCCATTTCCTGACCTCACTGAGTTTAAGTGACAATATTCAGCCCGCAGAGTTCATTTTATTTTCTCATTTCCTTTGTCACCAACTGGTTGAGGTGGTTTGGGTTTGCGCAGGCAGCTGGACTTCTTGGAGCTTAAAGAAATCTCTGTTTTCATCCTGAAACTTCTTAAGGGGAGGGCTCAGTCGAGGGGTCAGAGATGGTCGATTGTCTGAAAGTCAGTTAATCCTGACCAGAGGAAAAAAGCCCAAAGAAGAAGAGAGCTCTACTCCCTGATTGGCCGGAACAGAAAACAGGAATTCAGCCCCTCTGGCCAGCTTGTTGTACACAGCAAAAACACCAAGTTTCTGTTGCCTTTGGGCTTCAGCTTGAATCCAAATCTACTCCATTTAGTAATCATCTTCCTTCTCTGTGTATTACAGGAGCTGTGACATTTTGGAGTAATTCAAACTTTTGCCAGATGTTGCGTTTTATCTGGTTTTAATTTCAGCACCCGATTGGTGCCTGGTTTTAGGATTCTTACTGCTGCCGGTTGAATCTCTGGGTTTGTGCTGGTTCAGGTGTGTGTGAAGCAAAGCGTGAAAACGAGCTGCCAAATGGCGGCGTTGGGCGGCTCAGGAGGAGGCAGGAGAGTTACCTCTCCGGCGAAGAACAGCTTTCCCTGCACATCCTCGGCCAGCATGTCGTAGGCCTCCCCGCTGCCGCCCGTCTTCACAAAGCTGTAGGACATCTGAGACCACCTGTCTTTGCTCCAGTGGGTCACAAAGTAGTTCACAGGGTCTGGGACGTCCTGTGGGAGGAAGAGGACCTTCAATCCACAAGCGGAGGGGAAATCCCATCCAAAATGAGGCGAGACAGGTTTATGTTACAGTTTGAGTTTTGTGTCCACGACAACTCAAAGTACCTTACATTTTAAAAGCAGACAATGAAGATAAAGAAAACAAATAAAAATAAGTTTAACCAAATAAAATAAATAGATTAAAGGCTAAAAAAAATTCAGCTGTAGTAACCCTGTTTCACCTCTTCAAGAAGACCGATTCAGATTTGAGGAGCATCAAACTGAAATGAAGCCTCTCCTGGTTTGGTTCTGACCTCTAAGAAATCAGGTGTGTTTTAAGCTGCATAGTTAATGGTTCTGATGCTGATAAATATGAGAGAAGTGGCCCAAAGAGCCGATGATCACAGGGAGGGCTGAGGGTGATCCCTCCACAGGGATGAATGGAGATACAAGCAGAGGTCGGGGCTGTGGGGCCAGGAAAGGGTTAGGGTTAGGGTTAGGGTTAGGGTTAGGGTCCAATACTCTCTTTTTGCGTTCTTAATAGTTTTTCTTACCATTGCTTGCATTCTTTTATAATCAATTACATTTTTATAAATAGGGTTCCCTTTTAATACCTTAAATGCTTTATTTCTTGCCTTTATTGCTTTTTTACATTCATCTGTCCACCATGGCACCATTTTCTTATCACTTCTACATCCTGTTTTCTTTATTGAATCATCTGCTGCTTCCATAATTATTTTGCAAATTTCTAGATTAATTTAATCTATATCCCTTGTCATATCTACTTTCTCTAAATTTATTTGACTCAAATACCTAAATTTAATCCAGTCTGCTTTATTAAAATTCAGTTT